CAAAACGAGCCTCAGCTATGCTTTCCCTCCCTGTATCATTCGTCCTTTTCACAATTGTCTTATTTAGCATCCTTTCTGGTCCATCTGATCCCAAAAACAGAACCATCTCCAGCCAGTCCATGCCTTTGCAAGCCCGGTGAACTCTACGCACCTTCAGGGTGCTTTCTTCAACAGTTAGTATTCTTACAGATCCATCTCGACCAGTACTGTAGCATAAGTCCTGGTACTCACATACTGAAGTCACACCTTGTTTCCCATGGACGCCGTAAAGAGTGCTGATTGGAGAAAGAGAACTGACAAGCTCAGTTTGTCTATTCTCCGTTTCTTGATCTTGTGAGTCTATTCTGCTTTCTTCCCCCTCATTTATCCTGTCATTATTTTCTCTTTCCATGTAGAGAAGTAATGAACCTCTCCGGTCACCACACAGGCAAAACCCATTTCTCTGTGACAAGGTAACTGCAGCAGTCAACCAGCGTTTGGCACAGGGTGGCAGCAGAAAGGGAAGAAGAGCTTCTTCTTTTATGTGTAGGCCTGATTTATCCTCAGTCACATTTATTGTCCATCTGTACACTAATCCCTCAGAGCCTGATGCCAGAAGACACACATTCCCGGACTCCCCAAACAGTCCCTTGACCCAAAGTACAGAGTGAACTTTCCCTTCACCAGCTCTTAGGAAGACTCCCACCCCTGGCTGTCCTACAAGAAACACCTGCACTCCTCCGTTCAGGTTACCTACTGCACAAACCTGGACAATGCAATCCGAATTCTGGACTTGGATGCTTGCAACCTCCATCACACAATAGGACTGGAATTCAGATCCTCCTTGCCAAATGACATCCCAGATGTCACCTTGACTTAAGCAAACCTCACCTTGATCCGTGCAGACCAGAATTGCATTTGATTCACCCTCCCCCACTAATCGCACTACTTTGGGACAACCATGCCCTCTGAACCCAAGATCCAGTTGAGTCTCTTCCTGAGTTTCTTCACTGATTTTCTTACCCTCTGCCACTCTCCACAACCTTACTCCACCATCAGCACCTCCAGTAGCCACCCATCCCGCCCTACAGCTTATACTTCCCTCGCTTACAGCCAGAGCCCTCACGCCACCTGACTTATGCCCTCTAAATGCACATCCCACCTTCCCTTCACCTCCCCATTCCCAGAGCAGGCATGCACCATCTTCACCAGCACTAAATAAGCGGCTTGGTGTAAGCTTTACACAGAAGACTCGTGCTTGATGTCCATAAAGCACCCGAAGACACGTTGGCGATTCCTTTCCACAACCTGCATCTCCACCCAATGTGCCAACGCTCCACAAACGAACACTGCGGTCATCTGAAGCAGATGCCAGCCACCCAGATTCCTGAAGGTAGCAAAGGCTGAAAATGACTCCACTGTGGCCCAGTAGACGTCTCTCTACTTGGGACTGACCACTGAGCTTGGTTCCAGCTGGCCTCCACAAAACAAGCTGGTTGAAGACCGTCCCACCCACCAGCACTACAGAGTCCCAATTTGGACCAACCATAAGTGCTGAGTAAAGAAGACAAGTCTCTACGCACGAGTAAAAGGAGATAATGTTACCAGACTCTGCTTCTAGGAGCATGATGGCATTGTGGGCCAAGGATATGCCTAACAGTGAATGAGGTTGTCTTTTAAAACAATGAATGTCCAGCACCCAGTCTTGAAGCTCCAAGAGAGGACCAATCAGTTTCAGGCACTGCCCTTCAGATTCGAAGCTGACAAGCCGAACTCCTTTTCCTCCAAAAACAATAATATCTCCCTTGTAGCTGTTGTCCGAAGCAGAGCTTGCACCACTAAACGGTATTCCTCCAGACTGATGTTTTTTATATGGTCGTATCCCATGGATACGGTAGTTTTGGAGTACATTTATAGATGCACATTTCTTAGGAGATGCTTGAAGACTGTAGACAGAGAGGATTGGTCCCTCCCCTACAACACAACACAATTGATAGGGAAGAATCAATCAAATGAATTTTAATATGAGACACAAGTGCACTTCAACATAACATTCGAATATTATTAAAGAAGGAAATCTTAAAGCTAAATCAGTTTATTTGGTGAAAACATTGATAGTAGTGCAAAGCAGGCAATTGAACACAGTTACAAACAAAACATCTAAAACATTTAAAATAGGCAACATTGCAGAATTAGAATTTGTAAAATCAATAGCAGAAAATTATACAACTATGGAAAAACAAATGAGGGGATTACAGTGCAATTTAGAGCAACCTCATTATGAAATAAACACAAACACAATGGCTGCATCCAAAATCGCATATTTGCATACTATATAGTATGTTAAAAACAGTATGCAAACCGAGTAGTACATCCGAATTCATAGATTTAAAAAAACAGTATGCGAAAAGTACCCGGATGACCTACTACTTCCGACGAGAATCTGAAATGCATATTTGATGCACGCTACGCTATCACATGATGCCCAGTGAGAGAATTTATGAATGTGAGTGAAGCAACGCAACTGATGTTTTGGTCACATGATGATGACAGAATGGCAGATGTAGTAGGTCAGAGTTTCATTCATACTACTTACATTCATACTTTATAGAACATACTTTTTAAAAGTAGAGTAGTAAATTCAAATACAGTGCATTCTGAGTAGTAGACAATTTCGGATGCAGCCAATGTCATTGGGATTATTAAATGCACTAAATTTACCTAAAATAATTTGAGGGACATTAGGAGACACTTCAGGTTGCTTAGAGAAATCACATCCATATTGGCCCATGAGTCACAGTCTACATAATTTACTTCACCGTGGATTGTTAGCTTGTTGATTTGCTTCCTGTTCATTAAAAGAATGAATGTCAGTCACCTGTCAAAAGAAAATCCTCCCCTAGGAATTCCAGTGCAGTGATGGGAGCAACAAGCACAGCACTCTTCACCACAGCAGACTCTACAGGAGATGCCATTTCACAGTCTGCACAGCAGGCTGTAGACTTCTGGGGCACACACACACACACACACACACAAACATTACAGCATTATTCATTACTGACTGATCTCCTGAAATGTCATTTTCAAAAGGCAGAACCTGAACAAATGCAAAATGCTTGCTATGGCATTTATTACACGATCAAATCGATGTTATGATATAATAATAATTAACCTACTAGAGCTGCTGGTCACATGGCAGTTACCAAAGCTACTAAATTTGTTTAAATAATTTGGAATAATATAAAACAGAGCTGTCCAAACTTGGACAAAAGTTGGCCCACGGTAACCTTTGATTTGGCCCTCCATCCCATCTAAGAGGAGAGGTAAAACGATGGGGAATTTTGGGGAGAATGCCAATTTTATTTTTACATAACTTTTGTTTTTGTAACTGTCGAGGTAAAAAAAAGGCAGACTGAAATTAAACGTTTCACATAAAGCTATGAAAAGCTATGAATGAAAGCTATGAATCAGAATTAATTTTAATTAATTAAAAAATATTTAAAGTAATTTGATGGATAGCGGACATTGCAGAAGACATCAGCAAGCCAATTAAGGCAAAATGATTTTTGTGTTATAAATGGGATTGTTTATGTTTTTTATTGTAAGATGTTCATTATAAAATGTACAAAAGTTTATAATTGTTAATGCAATAAAAATATTTTAAATGCAATAAATTATGGAATTAATTAATTTATATAATATAATAATAAATTAGAAAATAACATTGACAACTTCATGGTTTGGTATATTTACCTCTGGCCCACCACTCTCAATCAAGTTTAGTTTTTGGCCCTTCATAAGAAAAGGTTGGGACACCCCTGATATAAAATAATTTGGGGATACTTGGCAAAATTTGTTTTTAATACTGAAAAACAAAAATTAAAAGTTTCATATCTGATATAAATTGCATATTTTCCAATTAGTCTTTTTAATTTTAAACTGCAAGTAGTGTATATATAATTTATTATATGAAAAAAAAATTAAGTTTGAGGTTAATATGTCAGAAAGCTATCTTTCTGTATGATTTTGTTTGAGTGTTGAGGCAAATATTTCTGCTTGAAGTCGTTTCCCATTAATTTTCACTTCGGTCATTTTTTATCACAATTAACAAAAGTGTGATTATTATTTGTTGTTTCAGGAATATTTTAGCTCTTTATGAAGGCCTTTATAAATCAGATTAGGTAAAAAAAAAATAAATTAATGAATGAAAACATGTCAAAAATTGATAACTACATTTTAAATTAATTTATCATAATTGCAAAACAAAATTGAGTATTGTGCATCCTAATGCAAATATTATGTTGGATATTAATTTTATTTTACAGTAATTGAAATAAAACCACAACACCCTTACTTTAAAAATGTATTTCATTATCTTTACTTTAATTATTCTAGATTATTGACACATGATGTGGATTATTAAGATATGTCAAGTAAACAAACTTTCTTAACTGAATAATTAAGCCCAGACTAACATCACCCATTTACAATTAATTCCAGTTTCCTTTATATTACACGTATATCTGTACTTTGAAAATAACGTAAACCATCACTGTCTAAAGTTAGAAACAAATGATAAAGGGTCTTTAGCCAGCTGGTGTGCAATGACTGTTAACTGCAGTAGGATTAAATTCAATTTGAGATACATGATTTTCCAAAAGGCAGTTGCAATAAAATGTGCTTTTATAAACGATTATCGGTTTACTTTTTACAATAATGAACGTCAGTAACTTATCAGCAAGACATATTTACCATAAAGTGGATCTTCCAGCAGTGATTTTACACGTTTCTCGTACAGTTGTAGCAACCAAAATTCAATTAGCTTAAATTTCACAAACCTGTCTCCTGTAGAGATCGTGCCTTTATTTTAAAGACAATAAAAACAAGGTCGTTTATACTGCATCAAGCATGTTTCGTACTGTATGCATGTGTTTTCACTTCCTCGTTGACACCGAGTACCGTCCAATCGCGCTGTTCAATACTACACACACCGAACCACACTGACAACCGATTGGCTGAAACCAGTCCTGCGCTTTCCACTGTGAAAACGCGTAGATTTGTGCAATTTGCCAGATGCACAAACCATATGTATTGAGCAGATCTCATGAGAATGGTATACAAATCATACGAAATGCACAAACCAGTGAATTGCCTTTTTTTACGCCCTGAGCGTCATTTTGCGCATGTGTCTCCGGTCTGTTATTTAAATTTCTTATGGACCGCTTAAACCCAGGGGGTGGGGACAAAGTGTAATATTTTCGGGATAAAATCGACAGCCTGATGATTGCATGTAAGTAGTGTCAATGTGGATAATATAATAACAGTTGTCATACGCTGTGTGTGTGTAAATGCACAATAGCTTAATTAAGGAGAGTGGTCTCGGGATAGTCTTAAACCGCAGCTCGGGTTCACTTCTAGTGCGATGCTCGGGTTTAGCGCTATGGCTAGCATGACCGGCGGACAAATACAGTTATAACAATTAGTACCGTAACAATGAAAATGCTGCACCTGCACCTGTAGGACTTGGCGAGACATGCATTTAATTGCTTGATTTTTTTTTCTTTGTTCATTCTTTAATAACGATGCGATTCACTCTGAGCGAATTGTTCTTTTGAGTCTGACCATTAATGAATCAGTTGAGCTGGTACACAAAACCGAACGATTCCGAACCGAATCGCAGCGAGCCGAGCAAGCATTTGGCCTAAAAAAAAAAAAACTTGTGTTAAAGCAGCCACTAGAATATTTTGTACAAACATTAGTAGCAGCGCAGAGTTTAGTGCAAAAATACAAAGAATTGTCAGCCAAGAGTAGTCTTGTAAATATCTATTATGTTAATTGCAAAAATTACCTTTATGACAATTTATTTAACAAACTTAAAATTAATGTAAACATTTACAATGTATGTAGAAATAAAATTAAAAAGTCTCAAAGGGATATTTAAAAAAAAGAAAATTTACTGGAAATACGCCAGGGCCATCCAAACTCTGTGCTGGAGGGCCGGTGTTTTGCAGAGTTTAGCTCCAACCCTAATCAAACACACCTGGACCAGCCAATCAAGCAGGTGTGTTAAAGCAAGTTGAAGCTAAAGTCAAGACACCGGCCCTTCAGGACCGAGTTTGGACACATCTGTCCAAGGCCATCCAATTGTATAGTGACTAGGCACAGGATGATAACTGGCTAACATTTTCTTTTATACTGTTCCTAAGGTATTTGTAGTTTTTAAAATGTTTTTTATGACTAATTTAGTTTTTGGGCAGCAGTATCTCCAGAAGAAATTAACCCTCCACATCAAAAGCTACTGGTCAGCCTGCAATTCAGGAAATATTTGAGAAACAAATTATAAACTATAACATCCAAACATGCTTTAGACCTGAAAAGTGCAGAGACTTACTTTAAATCCAAAGAAAAGTATATCATCTTTGCTTCAAATTCCAAAAAAAGAATTACCGCTTGTGGTAACCGCTCTTTTAATGCAGTGTCTATGGGACAGGAAATTCAATTTTACTTTATTCTCTCCTCTGGCTGCCAATTCTTTTCCTCTTTTTGAACGTCTTTAAATAGGTATGTAAATTTTTTTTTAGATAGTTAGATATCAAAAGATGCCTTTTAAAGTTGCAAAGAAATCTGTTTTTGAAACTAATGAAGATTTTTATTATGTCGCCTGACATGTTTACTGTTTCAAAATATTGAAAATGTTTCTTAAAATAAAATGTGTTGTGTTCAAAGGGGGGGAAAGTTGTTTGTTTACCCAGACATTTAAAAAAACATAAACAACTCATTTTAGAGCGGTAATCACAATACCAAGAAACTGGGATATTTTTATCCAAGGTTATCATACCGTCAGAATCTTATACCAGCCCATACCTAGTAGTGACTTATTTAATTCAGTCTGTGTAAATAATTCATTACAGTTCAACTATTTATTTTTTTACAACATTATTCCACAGGCTCACCAAATGGTCCTGAATGTGTTTACAAATCTTGTCACATATCTGTAAATAATATTTCGTGGACAGACGGATCGATTTTCTTCATAAGACTTCAGTGTATGTACAGGAACAACTCATTAGTTTAGTTTTGCCTATATATATATATATATATATATATATATATATATATATATATATATTTATATATATTTCTTTGTTTGAGTCCCAAAGTTCTGGTAGCCATTGACTTGCATTTTATAAATGACCAATAATCCAAATGCAATCTCAAACATAACTGTAACTTATAGCGTGGAAAAAAGAATGCTATGGATCCCTTTCACACGCCTGTTATGATGCGTTTAACGGTCATCAGCATCTTAAATCCTTGAAAGTTTTAAAAATTTTGATTTAAAAAAAAAAACATATGAACATTAATGTGTATTTATGTCTGTAGTATATCATCTTTGCTTCAAATTCCAAAAAACGAATTACCGCTTGTGGTAACTGCTCTTTTAATGCAGTGTCTATGGGACAGGAAAGTAAATTTATTTTATTCTCTCCTCTGGCTGCCAATTCTTTTCCTCTTTTTGAACGTCTTTAAATAGGTATGTAAAAAATTTTTTGTTGTACTTTCCCATTTACTGGGCGCTAAGTTTTCCCAACTATGATGACTTCCTCTACTGAGAAACCCGTAAATGTGAAAAGAGTCTACAGTGGCAAGTGTTGACACAAAACATGTGAAATTTGATTGTGTCAGAATGCACAGTGTAACTGTCAACCAAGTGCACCATACATGCGTAAAAACTGAAGCCAAAACTGTTTGAGTGCCCCCCTGGTGGATGGCTGCAGTATAGGTCATAAATCCATATAAACTAATAGAATGTGCACAAAATATTCAATTTTTCAAAAAGATGGTTGTCATCATGCAGATGTATGTTCAAGTGTTTGTTTTTTCTTACATGTTTATTTAATTATTTGTTGCTATAGAAATGGGTCTGTTTGGGTCAGATTCAGTATTATGCAAATATCAAATATCAGATCAATTTTTTTTGTAAAAGATATCGTAATATACTGGCATTAATTTATGTAATCACCAGAGATGGATGTACATCATCCTTCATAAAAATTGTCATCTCAACAAATGTTTAGTGTCAAATGTCACAATGAATACATTTTACATGTAGACACTTCTGTAAACAAGGTAGGCCTGGTATGAACTTTATAAAGTTATTTTGTCATTCAATATAAGAGTCCAAAATCCTGCTTCCTCCACATAATTCAATAATAAGCATTCAAATTTCTACGCTTTGTTTTTGCTCAGTTAAATGCATAATCTAGGTCAGGGGTCATCAAACTTGTTCCTGGAGGGCTGGTGTACACATTAAACTCTGCATGTCTATGTGTACAAAAAAAAAAAAAAAAAAAAGCTCATAATTGCCACCTTAACATGGTCAATCTGTATTTACATAATTCAATTTTATGTGTTTAACTGAAAAATTTTGGCCCTGATCACCTTCCAAAATAGTCCTACATTTTAATAACAATATCACAACAACAATATAGAACAAATGCTAAACCTTTTATTGTGCTTTCTTTATACTCATTTACAGACTTCCCATGTGTGCCTGGTGACCCTTTGCCCATCAGGTGGACCCGGGATACATTTCTATTTAGCACCCATGATCAAGCGACCTCAAAATCCCCCTTTTACTTGTGGCATCCAGAGTTTACCATATCACTGGAGCTGAAACTCTTGAAATGCACATAATCTGACCTCACCTTCCTGCATTCCTGGACTGTAAACACATACACTGTGACGCTACAAATGTTACCAAGTAAATGCATACAAATACCACTAGATGTCTTTAAACTAGACTGTTCTGTTGAAAATAAACATAGCAAGACCTTTTCTAGAGTTTCTATAAATGAAGCAACACCTAATACCTCAATAAAACCCAGTCACTCATGTTGACCACTATGACGTACCGCATGCCAAACTTCACCCTGGAGCAGAAGCTGTTTCTGCTTCGGAGAATCCATGCGGTGGTAGACACGGTCCAGGACTTTCGGAAAGACACCAACACTACTGTGCACCGGAATGCTGTGTGGGCAGAGCTGGCTCAGGCCTTCAATGCGGCGTTCCCGAGTCGACCACCCAGCAGCATCGGCTCTCTAAAGACACTGTGGAAAAGACTGAAGGTCGAGTGTCGTGTAGCCCTGCAGAAGAGACAGGAGCAGCAGGCCGCTGGGCTCCCAGTGTCTGCCCTCACTCAGGTAAATTCTCTAATTCAGATTAGGGATGCATGACTTTATCAGAACGTTCAATGTATGTTTATGATGGTGTGGAGTCGATTAGGCATGGGACAAATAACCGTTTTCAAGGTATACAACGGTTTGGAAAAGTCAAGGTTTTAAAACTGCCAAAATTTTTTGTTATACCGTTCCTAAGGTACTGTATTTGTAAAGCCTGGTTTATACTTCTGCGTCAAGTAACCGGCGTAACCCACGGCGTATGCAACGCGCGTAGCAGTGCATTTATACTTCTGAGCGCTGTCTCTGTTGGTTAGCATTAACACTTCCGAAACGCTAGTTGGCAGTGAGGTGTAAATGTTCCTCTGTGTCAAGTTTTTTCGCTGCTGTTTTGCTTTTCCTGAACACTTCTGGGATGTACAAGTGGCTCAAACTCGCTCATTTTAAGGCAGGAACCGGCGGACGTGCAACAACTTTAACTATGAGGTAAACGCAAAACAAAACTTTCCATCCGGAGCTCCTTCACGGGACTTCACACTTGAAAACAATCGCTCCATCAGGCTCGTACCAATCACACAACAAAGCGTTTGATGCAGAAGTATAAATCAGCCTTTAAGATTTTCTTTTATTAAATAATTTTTTTTTATTAAGGGAAGTAATTGAATAAAACTAGATTTCTTTCTGTGTACATGTTTGTTTGTTTGTTTTGTTGTCTGTAAAACGTACGTTTTATTAAGTATACTTAAAGGGGTAGTTCACCCAAAAATACAAATTCTGTCATCATTTAGTCACCTTTTACTTGTTTCAAACCTTTATGATTTTCTTTTGTCTGTGTTAGGACTGCGTTGTTTTTGTTTCTGTGTGTTTAATTTGTTCTAGATTGGGGGCGTGCCTTCAGCGCACCTGATGCTGGTCAGCACCCTTATTTAAACCCCGTCAGAGAATTGGTAGGGGCCGCTGTTCTTTCAATTGGCCAGAGCTGCACTCCAATTTGGGCATTATGTTTTGTTTCACATCCATACACTATCACTGACAACACCTATTGCATCCATTCACTTGCTTTTCACACTGATTGAACATACAGATACTGATGTTTTGATTAAATTATTTTCAATTGTGTTAAATAAATATTATTTTTGATTATATTTCGCTGTGTCGTCTCCCTCACTGTTACATCTCTGAGCCAGGTGTAACAGTCTGTTTAACAGAAATGAAGATATTTTGAAAATGATAGAAACCTGTAACTATTGACTGTGTTTCTTACTATAAAAAAATCGGTTACAGGTTTTCAGCTTTCTTCAAAATATCTTTTTTTTATCTACAGACTAAAGAAACACAAAGGTTTGAAACAAGTAACTGGTGACTAAATGATGACAGAATATTCATTTTTGGGTTAACTATCCCTTTAAGTAATGTTTTGAGTCAACTTCACGTATTGACATCTACATAGTATACTTGTAAGTGCACTACTTGAATACAACTTGGGACTAATTTGGCCCAGTTTTAGTATACAGTATAAACATATACTTTTAAGTGTACAATAAGTGTAACAATACACTTTAAGTTGTAGACAACTGGTCTACAATGACATTTTTCATTTGTACTGCAAGTGAACTTTTGAGAATACCAAAACAAATAATAAAATGTATTTTAATGTTTTGGACTGTGGGCGTCATGGTGGCGCAGAGGGTAGCACATTCGCCTCACAGCAAGAAGGTCGCTGGTTTGAGCCTCAGCTGGGTCAGTTGGCATTTCTGTGTGGAGTTTGCATGTTCTCCTCGTGTTTGCGTGGGTTTCCTCCAGGTGCTCCGTTTTTTCCCACAAGTCCAAAGACATGCCCTGTAGGTGAATTGGGTAAGCTAGATTGCACATATTTCCCAGAGATGGGTTGCAGCTGGAAGGGCATCCACTGCGTAAAACATGATAAGGATAAGTTGGCGGTTCATTCTGCTGTGGCGATCCTATAATAATAAGGGGACTTAGCCGAAAAGAAAGCCTCAGACTTAGCCTGAAACGAAAACGAGTTTTTAACTATTGACGTAATGTCTAATAAAAGGGTGGAGTGTGAAGATTGTGTGACGCACTGAGGATGTCTGCGTTTTCTATCTCCCAAGAATGAAAAAACAGCTATATAAAATAATTACTTAAAGAGTGCCAATCTTGACATTCTAAATGACATTATTAACTTGATTAACGCATCAAATTGAAAAACTAAGAGCGTGCAGCCGTAAGATATTTAAGTTTACTACTAGTACATGGATGATGACTTGTAAAGTGCTTTGAAATGTGCATTTTTTTATTTGAAATAATGTAATCTCAACAAATATGAAAATGGGTAGGAACGTATAGTAGCCCCTCCCCTTTAAAAACAGCCAATAGCATTTGGTTGAGTAGTTGAGCCCAAGTGTATCAAATGAAAGAGCAATAATCTTAAAAAGCATTTGATTAGTCAGAAGAGTTGATGAGAAACTGAAGTGAGGTGACATAAAAAAATCAATCCATTTTGGCGACTGCGACAAACTGCAAGCTTTGGATGTTTATATCTTCTAAAATGTAAATTTTGTCACTGTTTTGGAGCACACTAGCTTATAGATGTCCTTAAGACTAATATACTGATACTAACATCTAACATTCACTGTACCTTTAAGAATATTAAATAAATTAACTTCAAGTATGTTTCTTTTTGCTAAGGGTATAGTTGGATATTATTGGGAAATTGTAGTCACACAATTGATTTTGAAGTGTGGTTGTGTGTCAGGTGCAAAGAGAAGTGATCGCCCTCGTACCAAACCTGATCTCCTGTCTGGAGGAGGTGGATGGAGACAGCAGTTATGCCTCCGTTAGGGGCGGCTCACCTGGAGCAGGTAATTAATAGTCATGTCATCTTCCTAAGCGAATGAAATACTACCACTCTTCCCAGCTGTCAACTGTGCAATTATACAGGCGAGAAGATTAATTGAGTCTTTCTTTCTCTCTTATAGTGATGGGGCTTTCAGGCACTAATGGGAGCGAGCATGAAGATGCTGACCACAGTCAAAATGATGTAAGACTCAAATCAGCCTTCAAATGGTTTCTGAAACACCTCTTAAGCTGCATGTTTTCTTTTATATTGCTGGTTTTAATACAGAATGTTTGATTGATTACTCAAAGTGTGAAGAGTATGGTTGATTGTATTTTAATGTGTGATGTAGTGTATTGTGAACGTTTGGCAAATGTGAATATTTCTGACAAAATAAGAGAGATCATACAAAATGAACATAATTTTTTTTAGTGCAGAAATGAGCATGGCATTTTATCTAAAATATGTTATACATATACAGTTGAAGTCAGAATTATTAGCCCCCCTGAAATATTAGTCCCCGTTTATTTATTTTTTCTCCCGATTTCTGTTTAGCAGAGAGAAGAGTTTTTCACCATTTCTAAACATGATAATTTTAATAACTCATCTTTAATAACTGATGTATTTTATCTTTGCCATGATGACAGAAAATAATATTTCACTAGATATTTTTCAAGACACTTCTATACAGCTTAAAGTGACTTAAAGGCCTAACTAGGTTAATTAGCGATTCCAGATTAATAAACGGACTAAGCCGAAAAGAAAATGAATGAATAAACCCCTGTAAATGTTTGGGAATCTTTAGTTCTTACAGTACTAAATCTAAATACAAACAAGATGCATTTTGTATGATCTGTCTTATTTGGTCAAAATTATTAACATTTTCTACAGAATATTCACCAGAGCTTTACAAAACACTGTACTGTATATTGTAAAGTCCTACCAGGTCAACATTTAACATGCAATAAACACAGTAAATCTGGTTCAACACGGGTTAAAAAAGTACAATTGTCTAACTTACATTCAAATGTTTGGAACAAGTGCAATATTTGTTGAATAAATTAAATATTATTGATCGTGTATCATTAAATTGATCACATTTTGATCAAATCAATGCAGTCTTGGTGAGAATAAGAGACTTATTTCAAAAACAAAAAAAAGCTATAGATGAAAAATAATTATCAAATTTATAATCAGACCATCTTTTAAAAAATATATATATTAAATGTAGTATTTTATATTATAGGCCTTAAGTAGGCTATATATATATATATATATATATATATATATATATATATATATATATATATATATATATATATATAAATATATGTCACCTCATTGTCACCTCATTTATAAAATATTTAATCAGTATTTGTTATATAAAGACGCATATGAATATTCTGCACGTTTCTTGCTTTAGGCTATTGGATGTGCAATAAATGCATACGTGTTATATTATTAATGTTTACTTATAATAATTGAGTATATATATAAATACAATATAAAAATAAAACAATTACAATAATATTAAACGTTTACTTTTAACAGGAAGTAGACAGTAAGGAGAACTTGGCCATTGAGCTTGGCTTATCTTCTCCTACTCACCCACCTGTCAACTCTGGTATTCCTCCGGGCTCTTCCTCCTCACCTCTCCACTCACATTCACTGTCCTCCAGATCCAGTCGTCCCTCCTTCATCTACTCAACCCATCCAGGAAGCACCTCAGGCCACGGATCAGGGGCGAGGGCTGCAAACTTTGATTCGGTACACAGAGAGCCTGCGGTGGCGCGCGGATCAGTGGAGAATTCGTTCCCGCCGGCGGACTCTTTTACCTCAGACTCTAAATGGGAGGCACGTCGACAGGAGCTGTTTGAGCAGGAGCACCAGCAGACCATGAGCCTGTTACTGCTGCAGCAGTGTGTGTGGGAGGAGAAGAGGAAAGCGGTCAGACAGAAGGAGAAGGCCGCTCGAGCCAAGAAGAGATATTACCAAGCCAAACTCCGCAAGATCGGCGCGGGTCATTCGCCTTCCAGTAGCGACAGCGATGATAACGAACAACACCCACGGACATGAGTTTCAGATGTTTACGACGTCTTAGATATGTTTACTTTCTTTTTGAAAGTCATCTTTTTTATTTTAATAATGCTGTTTGTTTACAAAACTTTTGATTGTGATGTTTGGGAATGTGTCGTGTATCATATGAAGGGGCGTTCAAGCAAGCAGGCTCAAATAGCCATCCACAGTAATCTCACTGCCTTTTATACTATGGGGCCGTCGAATGCCTGATTATGATTGGCTGATGATCCTTCTAAGGCAGGGGTGATGAACTCAGTTTTTGGAGGGCTGTAGCTCTGCACAGTGTAGTTCCTACTCTAATTAAAAACACCTGACTGATCATACTAATAGACTGATTTCACATGGTGGCCATTTTAATAGCAAAAGCGAGGCAGCGGTGAGAAGAAACCTGGAAATATCGCCTGGAGTCACACAGGAATGGCGCTTGCGATGGCGTATTGTTGTGTACCTGGCTGTATGTCTTATCAGCGAAAAGTTAGTGAACCGAGTTCATAATTTCACTGCTTTTCGGCTGACCCGAAGGTCCATTCTGAATTTATAGTGAAAATAAAAAGAGATATCAGACCTAATTTTCAGCTAAGTTAAGTGAAATGGCATTAGTTAGCTAACGTTTTCCTCCCCAAACACACATTTTAGATTCTATTTATCAAACTCAAGTTAATGAACTCATTCTTTTGCTATATTAGACCTGTCAAGATACTTACGAATTTAAGCATTGAAATAAATTTAAAAAACGTAAATTTCCCACTAACATTTGTGCGCTGTTGAGTGATTTGCCATTGAGTTTACCAGTGCTCAACAGAAATGACTGTGATTGGCTGTGAAGTCATCAGTTCACTGCATTTCACCGATGTTTATCGAGTCCAAACTCAGAGAAGTGATCCACTGATGAATCAACTAATCTTCATAGCTTAAAACGCTCCAGTGTCCCTCTGTGTCTACACTCCGTGAAGAGCAGTGAACCGATGACCTTCACAGCCAATCACAGTCAGTGGGCAGTGAATGTTTTTAAAGTTTCAGTATCATGACAACACTATTACAGACAGCACAAGGGTGTGCTCCAAACTTTTTACACAGAACTGCTTTGTTTTATTGCTCAGCGGGTTACATAGGCTGAAGCAGGGAAGCCCCCGCAGTGTTTACTTTGTGCCATGAACTTAAGCCTAGGAGGACACTTTATGATTTTGTTTGATGCCTAATATGCTTTTAATTGATTAAATTAATCTTAACTGAATGATATTAAAGTGATGTTTACACCACATCTGCAGCAACAGCTGGAGGTTTGTAGTCCACAGAATGTTGTTGCAATATTTACAGTGCTTATCCTAAATTTCCGGGTTTCTTCCCACCGCAGCCTTGCTTTTGTTTTTTAAAATGGCGGCTGTGTAAATAAAGTGTATTGAGTCCTTCAGGCTTGTTTTAAACCTACAGGTAAGTGTGTTATAGCAGGGTTGGAACTAAACTGTGTAGGGTTGCGGTCCTGTTCTAAGATGTGACAAATTATTTGATTCCATGTTTTTATTTATTTAATAGGCCAACACTTTAAAAAAATCACACCAAAACAAAACATAGGGCTTGGGAAGAAAGAATCTACTACACACAGGAGATTATTACAAATGAATGCACACCCTAGCATCACCACACTGAGAGTGCATTAGTTTTTTAACAATTTAGTGGCCCGTCATCAGTTATTCCTCACTAACTAACTCTTTCATCAACTCTGATGCTGCATTCTGTTGAATTAAAAGTTATACATTCATAGGGACAGTTAGCTCTAAAAATAAATGTTCATAATTTACCCCCCCTCATGTCGCTGAACAGTTTTCTTTCATCTGTGGAACATATATTTAGAAAACTGCCTTAACATTTATTTGGCCATACAATGAAAAAGTGGAGTCTTGTGTAGTTTTTTAGATCCCACGGATTTTCATTTCATAAACTGTCGAATCATCTTTTATTTATTTATTTATTTTTTGAGTTCTGCAGAAGAAAGTGTTAGACACGAGTGAAGGGTGAGTAAATTATAACAGATTTTTCTTATTTAGATGAAGTTGAAAGGTGGTGTATGCCTACCCATGAGTGTTGCCAAGTTGGCAGACTGTTTTCAGACTTTTTAGTGGCTTAAGAAACTCCTTGACAAGCCTTAGTTTTTCAAGAAATATCAGTATGACATGGGCTGCATCTAAAACCTTAGGCTGTTTACTTGTTGACTTCTGAGGTAGCATAACTAAATAGGGAGAGCTTTGGTAGTAATAAGGAAATATTTGCTTACTTCTTGCTGGAAAGCGATAAAAAGTGAAAAATGTTGGTCAAAATGTACATTTACACACAAAAATGATGCCTAAACGGTGCTATGAGATGCCATTTTTTTTTCTGCTCAATTAACTGTCAGAAATAGAATGCACAGGATTGTGGGATATAGACAACTTGGTTGCTTTCAAATTTTGATCAGAAGTTACTTCCCTAGTCAGCAGAATTTGGATTTAGACATACTTTGAGAACCAAAGGTTTTGCGACATTTGGCAAGCAAGGCTAGCCACAATCCATTGAAAGCAGTTGGCAACTTCCTCAAGTGCACTCAGATAATGTAAAAAGATACAAATGCTAATGTTAGCCTTGCTCTGTCAACAAAGATGTCTTCAAATTAGACAATGCCTTTGTGTTACCGAAATATAATTATTAGCATATAAACTCGTTTCCCTGTGTTTTACAAGCCTGTATTGGGGCACAGGTATCATCTGTAGCCTTTTTGTGAATTTAATTAGTTTAAAACAGTGAGCCGGTACAGTGAGCCGGTAATCCCCTTGACATCCATGTGCTATCCTCTCAGGCCACAGTAGAAAATAGATGATTTACAGTGATTCAACACTGTTGTGCTTTTTTAGCAGTTGTGCTGTAATTACTTATTCAAAATAACTCCCTGAACAAGAAAGTAACCTTTTTTGTGATGCAGCCTTAGACGGATTGCTGGTTATCATGTGCAAGTAATATAGAAGTGAATGCAGCAGTGAGTTTTGTGCTAACAGCGCCAAATGCCAGACAGACATATTTAGCCCTGCTAATCATGCTTGATGAGAACAGGAAATGAACTGAAGTGACGATCCTAATGTTCTTAACTGTATTTATTAATTTTTTATTTGATGTGTCAGGATCAAACCAATGGCAGAGTAGGGTCACACAAGGCACCTCTTTGATGCTATGTAGACAGTACACACACTCACACTCACACACTCACACTGTCACACACTCACGCTCACAATCACACTCACAGTCACACTCTCTCACACACACACACACACACAAATGACAGTGTCTTCAGGACCAAACTTCTGATTCACTTCACTGTAGCTTGTTTACTCTATGCAGGTTTCTTTTTTTCAGGTAAAATAAGTGCTTCTCTTAAATGAATTTCCTACTGATGGACTGGTTACATTTAGCTCAGTGGTGTTCGTTTGTGTCTTAGTATACAGTGTTTGCAGAACTGAGAGTCCTCTGTCTATTCTGGAGTGTTGAAAAAACTTTCTTAGAGTGACAGTTCACCTAAAATGAACATCTGCTGTTCATTTGCTCACCCTTAGCACATAAGAAGATGTAGGTGACTTATCTGTTCAGTAGAATGTAGAGGAAGAATTGTAGCTGAATCTGTGGTTCTTGGTCATTCATTGAATCCAAGTTTTGGTTACAAGCTACTTTGAGAGTCCAAAAAACACATAACGGAACAATTGATATATTGTCTGGTTCCTCCAGACAAAACATTGAGGAAATTTTTTAAACAATTTTCACAACATTATTACCTTTAATCCAGCTCTTGCTCACAGTGCTTATTGTTGTCAGTCAGGAGCACAAATGATGGTGGCTGAGAGAGCTCAAATGCTCTGCAAGTTAGGAAAACACATGCAAATAAAAAAACACTAACAAACCGAAAACACCTTAAATATTCTTACAAATTGTACAGTTAACCAAAAACGAGACTTTATTTTAATGTCATGTTAGCAAAAGTAACTAAAATATAGAAGAGACAATAATCAACAAAATACTCACCTCTCAGGCCTCCGACAACACTGCTGACTCTAAACAGCAAGCAGTCTGGTTCGTCACTTTTTAGGGTCGCTCAACACATTACCAATGTGGTCTGCGTTATTTGCAGTGTGTTTCTGAATTTGCATGTGTTGTGAGAATATGCATGTGTGGGTTTTTTCAAAACAATGATGTTTTCTAAGTCTGAGCTCTCTCAGGGGTGGCACGGAGACTCAGTGGTAAGCACTGTCACCTCACAGCAGGAAGGTTGGTGGTTTGAGCCCCGACTGAGCTAGTTGGGATTTCTGTGAGAGTGTGGGTGTTTCCCAGTACTGGGCTGAAGCTGGAATGGCATCCGCTGCATAAAACATATGCTGGATAAGTTGGCGGTTTATTCCACTGTGGCGACGCCTGATGATTAAAGGGACTAAAGGCTGTTTTATACTTCTGCATCAAGCAAATGTGTATGGTCCAGTGCAGTCTTAGAGCGGTCACTTACTGTAGCTCTTGTCGTGCACCTCTCAAAAAAATGTAACCACACGTCACGATGACACGTATCGCAAGCTCTGTGAATGCTTGGCGTGGTAGTTGTGACGAGTGGGAGTTGCTGAGAGCCGCGAGCCTGATGGAGCGAGTGTTTACAAGTGTCGAGTCCCATGAAGGAGCTCCAGATGGAGACTTTTGTTTTGCGTTTACCTTATGGTTAAAGTTTTGCCTGTCCGCCGGTTCCCACCTCTGAATGAGCAAGTTTGAGCTACTTGAACATTAAGGTAGCGTTCAGAAAAAACAAAACACCCACAAAGAAACTTGCCACAAGGGAACATAACAATGTACTGCCAGCCAGCGCTTTAGAAGTGTTATTGCAGAGCAACACAAACAGCACGCAGAAGTATAAATGCACATAAACGTAAGATATGCTCGTTTAATGCAGAAGTATAAACCAGCCTTAAGCCGAAGGAAAATAAATGATTGACTTGAGCTCTCTCAGCCACCATATACAAAATTCCTGATGATGATTCAGTTTTTGGATGAACTGTGCCTTTAGGGATTTTACAATAGTAGCTTGGAAAAGTACAGTCAGTGAGACATGTTAGACTGAATTAAACTAGAGAAAACCTTCCACTGTTAAAGCAGCTTTTTTGTAAAGTTTACAATTTTGTTGTAATTTGATTTGATCTGTGTAATGTGATGAACTTAATGAATCTTTTTTTTAACAACCGAAGTGTTTGTCTTGAATATTCGAAAACAGAACAACAGCAACAAAGATCATACAGAAGCGTGGTAGCAATAACTCCTTTATTGACGCCCAACAGGTGTCGTTTTCTCCCATTGGTGTCTTTTTTTTTTTTAAATCTGAAAACCCCCATAAGTAAAAGAGATCCAACATGTCCAATAATAAACATGTTGGGCCATTATACATTCCCCTTTTCTCTCTCCCGTCCGTTCATTGTCTTCCACCGCTCTCTCTTTCTGACTCTTCCCAGAATGCATTGTGAGGAGGGGGACGGTACATGTACAAAAAAAGTTTCACACATAAAACATTTGAAACAGATGAAACTTGGCTCTTATATAAAAACAAAAACTCTCACGCGCACTGCTTTAGAAACACTCCAGCAACAGCTATGGTGGAGAAAGGAACTTCGATAAATATTAATAAAGAAAATAAATTAATTTAATGTCTGTACAAGATAAAGTTATGCAGTATTAAATTAATATAAAAATCATACATAGAAAAATGTCTGGAGCACTTTATGACAGGTAAGAGGTATAAAAGGGGTGACATAGGGCACTCTTTTTTGGCAAAACTCATGAAAATACTGTAAATAACTAAAGAGAAAAGGTATGATGATGCATGATTTCTCTTTTAACAGGACATTTTTTAGATGATTTTACCTTAATGATTGTTAGCTCATATCGCAATGTGCCTTCCTTTATATTCAATACTTCACAGAAACAGTAATCACTGATATTTATGCCAGGAAAGAGGAAATCAAAGACGGATTAAATAGATTATCCTCAATAGCGGATTTGATAATCATTTCCCTAAGCAGTATTTGAATTACGATAAGCCTGGATAGGAAAGATTTGTTATTGTGCTGTGAAGTCTTGACTATGCTTGAAGGCTGGTTAATCAATTAAAGGTCTTTTTACAGAGCTTCAGCAAACTTCAACACATGCTCCTTATTGTAAAAGCATAAGAGCGGTCAGTCTGAAAATATTCCAGAATCTGGACAGCCATCTCATAAATATTGAAGACGGTTTCTGCCATGGGATTAAAGAAAAAGTCATTTAGCCTACCCAATTCACCTGTACCACATGTTCTTAGACTTGTGGGGAGAACCGGATCATCCGAAGGAAATCCATGTGAACAGGGAGAACCAACTGACCCAGCCGAGGCTCGAATCAGCGACCTTTTTGCAATGAGGCAATAATGCTACTCACTGCACCACCATTATTATATGCCACCTATTTATTATATGCATATTTATATTTGTTTTAATAAAAACAAGTTAGGTTTGTCCACCTGTCAGGTTTTGGAGACGTATGCATCACCATGTGGGGCTTAAGAATAGGACATGTGTTTGGATATAACACAGCTTTTGACTTCGTTATCATTGTTCATTTATTCATTTGCTGGAAATTAGAACAGAATTTAGAAATAGTTTGGAAACAAATCTTTGCACTTAAACTAAATTAAATATGTAGGCTATTAGATGTCTTCAATGGAGAACATACAACACCGTTTCTTTACTTCATGGAGGGAAAGGAGTAAAGTAAAGAGGCCGAATGGAGGAGGCTCATTCTTTATCCTCGCGCTGCAGATGGTCTGTTTAAACTGTTTTCTCGCTAGTGAATTATTTCCTTTTTCTAAGTTCGTCATGTAAATAGCAAATGTGCCTTGGCGTAACGCAACTGACTCTTAAAAGGAATGCGAGACGAGACTCTGGTTAGTTTAATGCATGTTATGCTCAAAACACACCCATAAGCCATAAAGAAAATAAGCACAACCCTGGCGCAAACCGTATATTTCCATCCTTAAAATAGCAAAAGTAGATTTGGAGATGCCCTTAATGCATTTGCACAATGAGCTTTAGACTTTGCACCTAGATCTTTAAAATAGAGCCAGTAGTAACAAAAATATATATAAATTGTGATTTAATATCTTGAGATTGGTTTCAATATGTTACACAATATAGATTATCTTTTTCCTATGGCTTAGTGTTTTTTTGTAACAGCAAGTCTACACATTTTGTCATCATTTTGACTATTATATTTAGAAATAATTCTTACAATAGGTGTTAATTTTATTTATTTATTTATTTATTTATTTATTTCAAAATTGAGAAATATCAACACTTAAGAGGAGTTTTCTTGCAATTATGGCTTTTTTCTTTAAACTAGAAAATATATTCTGGCATTTGCCCAATTATACTTAAAATTGTAAGATCCAAACTAACAGTTCTGACTTTTTTCTGCGAATTAGTTTTAGAAGTAAACATTTTCTAACAATCCTCTTTTCATTTCTCGCCATTCTGAGTTTTTACACCTTAAAATTAATTAATATATTCTGCTGGCAACTGCTACAGTATATACCAGAACTGCAGAAATACAGCTGTAATGACCTTTTTTATTCTGTGGCAGAAATCAGCTTCAAGTTTGTTGGAGTTTGCTGAAGAAATGTCTTTAGACCAATCTAAAATCTTCCAATAAGTTCACCTGTTTTTAAAAAACAAAACAATCCATTAACTGACAATCATTACGGTTGAATCACATCATCTGCTTCATAAATCTTTACAATCACAATCACTGTCTCTGGAATTTTTCACCAATCCCATGTTCGGGCTGCATTTACAACGACCAATAATCTCTTCTCTTCAAAGACTCCCAGCTGGTTGGTCAGTGGGCGTGGCTTGTTGCATAAACACAATTTAAAGATTGGATTGGGAACATTTGGGACTGTTTTGGCTTGGAATGGGTTTGAGAATGTTTTTTTTTTTCGATCCTACCCACTTAAACACATATCCACACAATCTTCAAAAAACATCACTAGAGATTTTTTCTTCTTTGATCTTTGATGAAAAAGATAGAAAAGTATAAAATTGTCCTGTACAGTTTTTTTCTCTCTGTCACTCTCTCTCTCCAGTCCTCTCCGCTGTTGGTCTGAAATCTGAGGTTTGTATGAATGATAATCATAGAAATCATCACCTTCTGTGGTTTGATTTGCTGTCTGTTTTCAGGAGGGTGCTCTTTCTCAAGCCCTTGATGAACTTCACCCTCCTGTCCCGCAGGAGTCCTGATCGCTCCAGCTGCTTTTGTCCTGTGATTCACCTGAGCCCAATCTGCAGAAGTGCATTATGGGACTGCGAAGGAATCATCAAGATTGTCCATCACTTCTGTTAACTCTACAAAGAGAAAAAGGAAAGAGCAAGATGTAAATAAAGTCATCATGTAAAGACACCAGTGGACGTCCTGCCTCAGAGATATATAGTGTATAAAAACACATTTATATTTTAATTGATTCATGTTTATTTTATATTTTCATATGTATATTTTGAATGTTTTATTCTGTTAGCAATTTTAAATCACTATTAAAAATTTAGATAAAAATAAAAATGATATAGATTCACACAAATATCTGGTTGTTTAGATTAATACTTTATATTTTTTAGAAACTTTCATTTTACGTTTGTTTTTACAATTGTCTTGTTTATTACTTCTAAAACACGTCTAAAAACTAAAAATACAAAAAAAATGTTCATTGATAAAATAAAACAATTTTAATTATTATTGAAAAACATTTATATATATAACAAAATCATAAAAACAAAACACTAAAGACTGGAACAATAATAAATATTAATGGTTATATAAAATAAACAATAGTTTTAAAACACAAAAAAAAATTAAAACACATTATTATTATTTGAAATAAATACATATTTTATTGGTTAAAGCTTTATCCTGTGTCACAATTTTATGTTAATAATAAATAAATTATTAATTGAATAAATTATTAATAAATAATTAAAAGATGAAAAGACCAAAATGATATTATCTGTCTATCTCTATCTACAGTATCTGTCCATCCATCCATCCATCCATGTGTCTGTCTGTTGACCTGTCTGTCTATCGGTCTATTCTAAGATGCAAATACCAAACCTCCATCCATCCATTCATCTATCCATCTATCCCAAAATGCTAATATCAAACCTCCATCCATCCATCCATCCATCAATCCATCCAACTATATCTACAGTATCCATCCATCCATTCATCCATCTGTCTGTCTGTCTGTCTGTCTGTCTGTCTGTCTATCCCAAGATGCTAATACCAAACCTCCATCCATCCATTCATCCATCCATCCCAAAATGCTAATATCAAACCTCTATCCATCAATCAATACATCCATCCAACTATCTGTCTACAGTATCCATCCATCCATCCATCCATCCATCCATCCATCCATCCATCCATCTATCCATCTATCCATCTATCCATCTATCTATCTATCTATCTATCTATCCATCTATCTATCTATCTATCTATCTATCTATCTATCTATCTATCTATCTATCTATCTATCTATCTATCTATCTATCTATCTATCTATCCCAAAATGCTATTTATCTGTCTGTTCTTCCATCTGTCCATGCTAAACATGCTAAAATTACAACTGATTGCAATGGATTTTTGACATTGTAAATTTCCTTTTGTGTATCATATGAAAAACTCATTAAATTCTAATCTACGACATACAATTGCAGAACTACAGAATCAATCATCTTTGATGAGCACACAAAGATGACCGTCAATCAACAAGGAAGTGGACACTCAGTGACACAAAAGGGGCAGGACTTACTCAGAGTCAGGTGACACTTCGGAGACGCTCTGAGAGGTTGCAGAGAGAGGAGGAGGTGGGGAAGGGGAGGGGCCAGCGGGGTTAGGGGGCGGGGTTAACACAGAGGAGCTGAAGGAGGCGAGTATGGACGACAGGATATCCAGGTGTTCACTAGAGGGCGGTCGACTGGACGGGGCTCCGGGTGCAGCCGCAGATGATGACGGGTACCTACACGGGGGCGCAGAGTCTAGGCGTCCACGGCGAGAGGGCAGGGATTCGTGGGGCTCCTCTGTGATTGGTGGAGGGGGTGAGGAGGGCGGGTGTGGGTCAGGGTGTGAGAGCTGGCGGGGCGGCAGGGTCCTCAGCCACTCTCTGCAG